ACACAGGTGAGCAAATATTTTTGTTTGAATTGCTGTTTTCAACTCCTTTGGGTATATATCCAGCAGTGGCTTTGCTGGATTTTATAATAACACCATAAAATTTTTTATGGAACTACTGTATTATTTTCCATAGCATCTGCACCATTTTACATCCCTATCAACAATGCACAAGTTTCCCAATTTTTCCACATCCTCATTAACACTTACCATTTTCTGTTTTTACTTTTTTTTTTTTTTTAAAGATTTATTTATTTATTCATAAAGAACTGGGGTACAGACCAGAGATGCGGAGGGTGAGAGGATTCACCAGAGGCAGAGTAGGGAGCAGAACAGGCAGATCTACAAAAATACACTGCTGAGGGGAGCAGCAGGCACGCCAGGAGAGGCCTGCTGTGCCACGTGCGGCAGCTCGCTGGTGGGGGATCAAACTCGCGCTTCAGTGGCTGCCGACTGCTTGATAGCACTGAGACTATAGCTCCTGTACCACCAGGAAGGCCCATTGTTTTCATTTTTTAACTAAATTTAAAAATAATGACTGTTCCTATTGGGTGCGCAGTGGTAACACATCATGGTGGAACAATTTCTTTAATATCTAAATTTCACCTTTTTTTTGAAGGTCGCAGTTGAAGGTCACGCTCTCTGTTGTCTTCACAGTATTCTGTGAGATGAGCCTCCTTCTTTCTCCCTTTAACAGATGAAGATGGTAGACCCTGAAACTGAGAAGTGGGAATATTCTCTGTGCAAGGCAGGTTCTTGCAATGTCTGGGGAAACAAGCCCCTGGGAGTCATCTCAGCCCCAGGAGGGACTGTGGGAGGAAGCCGGTGATTTGGGATGGGGGCCTTACCCCTGTAGTGGATCGTGAGGCACCAGGACAGTCCAGGGCTTGCTACCAGCAGAAGCTGCTGTGCTGTTCCTAATGTGGCTCTTATGTGTGAATTTTGAGTTTTCACTGGGTTAGAAATGAAAACCAAACAACTCTGAGTTCTAGATGAGTTTCCTGTGAGAGGTTAATGGGATAACCGTGAAGCCATTTCTTATACTAAGAAGAAACGAACGTAATCTTTCAAGATTTCGGAGTGTAATTTAGGGTAAACTGTTCATGAACAGATCCACAGCAAATTTCATGCGATTGCCCAACAAGGGTGCCCCTTTCTGGACAGATGAGGAACTGTCCATGGCTCTGTTTGGGAATATGGGGCTTAATGAAAATAAAATTTAACATTCACCTTGGTACTTAATATGTATCTGGCTTGGTTCTAAGTGGTTCATATTATTAGTTCCCATAATCCTCATAACAATTTTATGAGGTCGGCACTATTATTAGTCTCGTTTTATTTCAGAGGAAACGGAGGACTGGGATAATTAACTAAGTTGTCCAGAGTCACACACATGAAACACTGATCTAAGTGGGGGCAGTCTCACTCCAGACTCAGTCTTGGAGACTTACAGGGTCAAGGTCAGTGCCCTGACTGATAAGACTTGTCATATTTTATAGTCCTTTTGTATATTTCCTTTGCTATTCCTACTAGCTCAGAGAGGAAGAGATTCATATTATTTGCATATTGACAGAGGTGAGAACAGGTCAGGAGACTTCAAGGACTTTCTTAAGAAAGCTGCGTGGAGTGTTGGCCAGGATGTGGAGAGAGGGAAACTTTGTGCTAAATGTTAACTGGTTCAGTCACTGTGGGAAAATCCAGCAATTCCATTTCTGGGTATATATCCAAAGAAAATACAAACAGGCTATTGAAGATACAGGTACACTACTATATCGGTTACTGTATTATTTAAATTAGCCAGGGTGTGGAAATGACTGTCATTTGTCAATGATGAGTGCCTGCATCTGTACCTATCTCCATCTCTATATTTATCTAACTTTCCAACACACACACACACACACAGAGGAATATTATTTATCCATGAGAAATAAGGAAACCCTGCTATTTGTGACACTATGCATTGTAGGGCCCTGGAAAGCATTATGCTAAGTCAGAGAAGTCAGAGAAAGACAACTGCTGAATGAGGTCTTAGACATGTCTAAGAGAAGCAAAAAGAGTAGAATGGTAGTTACCAGGGCCTGGGAGTTGTAGATGAAAGAATTGGGGATGCTGGTCAGAGGGGACAAACTTGTAGTTAGAAGATGAGTAAGTTCTGGAGATCTAGCACAGCCTAGTGATTATAGTCAACAATGTCATATTATATGTTTCAAAGTTGCTAAGAGACTAGATCTTAAATGTTCTCACTATAAAAAAGAAATGCTAATTATGCAACATGCTGGAGGTGTTAGCTGGCACTGGGAGGGATTTATCATATTGCAATACACGAATGTAGCAAATCAACACACCCCTTAAAAACTTACACAATGTCAGATGTCAATTATAATATCAATAATAGTAACAAAAAGAATGCAAGAAAAGAGCGAACAAAAGAAAGCTGCGGTAGAGCCCTCCTTGACCTGGAATTCTGTATGACTCCACACCTGTCCCTTTTCTTATAATCTGGGGGTGCAGCAGGGTTGACTTACCCCCCCGCCCCCACCACAGCTGTGGCAGGCTTCTCACCTCTGAGTGCCTCCATGCTGCTGTCCAGTTGACCTCAAGGTTGGGCTGAGTCAGGAGCACGGTTGCACGGAGGAGCCTTCCAGAAGGTGGGAGCCGGTGGAGCCAGAGCCCGGAGTGGGAGGTCCTCAGAGGTGCACTGTGCTGTGGGTGAGACACTTGTAACGGCTTGACCAGCCAGGCCCAGGGATTTGCCCTTTATCTGTGTGAGAGGGAACCACTAGAAGTTTTTGAGGAGGAGAATGGCAAGATTAGGGTTGGGCTTTAGGAGTCTGGGCTTCACTTGTATGTGACCAGCCGTGCAGGACCTCACTGAGCTCATTTTCCAACCAGTCTTCCTCTGTATGCGTCTTCCTTCTTCATGCTGTCTATCACTGCATGCTGTTGCCTCATGCGGGTTATAAACTCCCAAGGATGATGGGCCCGTCAAGGCACAAGTTTCTAGGGCTTAGCTTGTAGTCCAGTGACTACAAGTCCACCCCCAGCCATGCTGGCTTCCTTTGAGCTTCTCACCCCAATGCCAGCCTGGCAGCCTATTACCCTCGGTATAGAAAACTGTCAGCCAGTCACTGGGGCAACAGACCTGGTTTTTCTCCCTTAAATGCCCTCCTCCCTCTTCTCCAGACCCAGTCGGGTGCTCCTTCTGCTGTGATAGCTCCCAGCAGCAGCCATCAGGGCCGCTGCCCCGAACTTCGACAAAACCCTCTTGGTCCCTGTTTTCACTGTCCGAGAGATTGACCTGTCTTATTTTCCCAGTTTGTATCTGAGTGTGTCGAGGAAAGGATCTGGCCTTCATTATCTCTAGATCTAGCTCAGAGCCTTACATAGAGTTAAATACTTAATGGGCACAGTCATCCAGGAATGTGTAATGCCCGCTGGCCATGGTAGGGGCCCTGGGGGTACAGCAATGGTTTAGATTAGCGGGTGTTCCCTATCTGCCCTGGGAACTCACACCCACTGGTGTTTCTCATCTGACCTCCCCATCCAGAAACTTCCTGCGGGACGACTTCATGTTGTTGCCCTCAGATCTGAGGGATGTTAAGTTTTGCAAAAAGGTGTCTGGCAATATGTGGATTAGAAAAGCTTTCTTTCAGAGTTACCTGCTTTCCTCCAAATACTAACAGGATCTGTACCCTGATGTTGGTGGGCTGTTGGTACCTGCTCTGTGTGTATTGAATGGAGCTGTAGTGGAAACAGACCATGGATTAGCGTTTGCCCCAGGAGGGAAGGTTGCTTGCGTGGCCAGGGCAGTCAGTGCCAGTGGTGGACAATTAGAACAAGGCCTGTGAGGGAGCCCCCTCCAAACAGGTTGGGTGTTACAGGCAGATAAGCAGCTGACGAGATGCAATCAGACTACAGAATAATTAGTTTTAACTCTAGACTAGATTTTATTCCCTCTACGTTTCCCAGGGCTGGGATTTTCTTTGGCGTTTGGGAGCGGTAACGCACAGAGAACTTTTCACTGTCACGTGGCTGACAGAGCCTGTTTTGAGGAGCACAAAGAACAGAAGGCTGGGGAGAGAGGCAAATGCGGGTTGTGACCTGTGGCGTTACAGGGATACTCAAGGGGTCTCCCCCCACCAACCTCCAGCACTGTTAAGGCCATAGGCCCCAGGGGGAAGGGCACTAGAAAATGCTTTCCGATGACTCATCCTGGAGTAGCGGAAAGGAGGCTCCTGGCCCCACATGGCTACTGACCCAGCTGGGCAAGTCATTGCCCTTCTTAGGGCTCCGTTTCCTTCCGAACAGCACAAGGAAGCTGGAGGGTCTGCTGCAAGTGATCTTGGACTTTCTGTACGAAAGAGCAGGGACTCTGATATCAGTTATACCTGGAAGAAAGCTTGAGATATGGGGTCAAGTGCTGGAAAAAGCTGTGTAGTTTATAGAGTCAGCTATAGCTGGTCTCCAGTCCCGGCCTTGTATTTTAAGGGTGACTTAACTTTGGGCAGGTTACTTACCCTCCTGGAGCCTTTGATGCAGAAGCAGGGATGGAACCTGCTGCAAATGTCAATACTGAGATATTTCAGGGAAACCTAGATGCTGGGGCCTGGCCAGGGGAAGCTTATAACAGATGTGGGTGATATTTGGAGGTGCTTTGACAGCAATGGACACGAGCTTGAGAAGCTGCTATGGGCAGCCCAGCCTAAGAAGAAACATATTCAAAAATGCAGATTTCCAACCCAAGGTTGCTTGGTTATCATGGGGCAAGCCTCCCCCCCACCCACAGCATGAGCCAGATTGGGTGTCTTTATCTCCCCCTCAAACCTTCTGGCTCCCTCCCCCGCCCACCTCTCACCCTAGGGACAGTCTAGTCCAGAGCTGTTGGCTGGCTGGGCCTGTCCTGACATTTGGGGCTCGGCGCCTCTCTGGAACCCAGTGAGTATCTGTGGGTCTTGCACTCTGGACTGTGGGTCTCAGTGAATGTGCCATCTCTTCCTTCGCAGTGCGCAGGTCCAAGGCGGCCGATGAGGAGAGGAGTCGCAGAGCCCAGCGGGCCAGGGACGAGTACCGGCGCCATTCTCTGCGCGCTATCCAGAAGGGCACAGTCGCTGGCCTCAGCTCCATGTTCCAAGAGCTTGGCCAGAGCCAGGAGCAAGAGGCGAGACCCTCTCACCACCTCCCTGGTCCGGGTCCACCACCACCCCTCGCCCTGCCAGCCAGGTGGGTCTGGGCCTCTGCATTCTGGGTGTGGTGAGGGGAGTGCCTTGGGCTGGGAGCTGAGGTGAGGAATTCTGGCCTGGCTCTGCCTCTAACTTGCTGTGAACAAATCATTCCTCTTGGGTGGACCTCAGGGTCTAAGTCTGTATAACGGGACAAGAAGGGAAGGAGAAGAGACGGAAGGTTTCTACTAATTGGAATTGTTAACCTTTTCGCATGCAAAGATTCCTTTGAGAATCTAAAGAAAACTACCATTTTGTCTCCAAATGTACATAAAACTCCCAAAATGTTTGCTTATCATTTCAAGCTCCTGAAAAACCCACAGGCGCCAAGACCTCCCATGGGTTAAATGTGGTCCAGCCGGGCCGGCACTTCTTGTTAACAAAGCTGGTGCTGGTGCAGGCCCATGTCTGATGACATGGTGCCAGTGAGCACCTGGTTGAATGTGCAGCCCCCAGTGTCTGCAGGGCCTTGGCGAGGATGTTTAGGTGACAGCCTATGAGTGCCAGGATGGGCAGAGGTGACCTGGCACCTCTTCAACTTTGTCTCTCCCCACCTTAGGCCTGTCCCTAGATGTGTACCCCATCTTTGTTGAGTACTGCTCCCCAAGAGGGCTCAGAGGCCAGATAATAAGCACCTGCTTCCCCCTGAACCCGTTAACCTGTGAAGTAGTCCACTCACTCAGATAAGAGGGAGTTGCCTATGTTTTGCTTTGATTGGCATTTGGAATCATTCATACCTCTATCTCCCTTTTGCTATTGCCTGGGGGGAGAAATGTCTGCATTTCTCCCATCCTCATCATTTATATAACTCTCAAACCAGAAAGTTTGCAGTTAGCTATCTGGAGAAAAGACTGACTCTCATCCCTGCCTTGTGTTTATTCAGCTTCCTCTCCCCCCACAGGGAACTGCTTTTCTTAGTTTATATTCCTTTCAGCTTTATTCTGCAATGACCAACCAAAATTGTGTCTACCCTCTTTTTTTTTTTCGCATAAAAGTTTGCATAATATACACAGGGTTCTGCATCTTGATTTTTTCTTAGATAACCGTATTTTAGAGGCCTTTTAATATTAATCTTTAGCAATTTAGTTATTTTATACTTTTTACAGCTGTATAATATTCTGCCTCATGGGTGTGCTCTCACTTATTTATTAAAATCTCTATTGGGGACATTGATAGTGTTTGAGATCTTTGGTTCTTACTAACAATTCCCTTTTTGAATAACCTTATGGATATTACTTTTGTACACATTAAACTCTATCCTACATAAAGAGATTCCCAAATCACTAGCCGGTGGCCTAGAGATCCACATACATATTGACAGGCGTAGTCAGCTTGTTCCCCTCCGGGGTGTTACCAATGAGCACTCCCATCCCTTAGCCTTGCCAACAAGGCAAACTTTTGTGTAAGAAAACTGATCAGTGAAAATTTACATTTGCATTTCTATTTGTGAGTGAGATTACATATTTTATATATGTTTAAGGGCCATACTTCCTTACCTGTCCCTTCCCCCTCCTGAGTTATTGGCCTTTTCATTATGTTATTGGTCTTCTTATTGATTTCTAGGAAGTCCATAAATATTAGGATCTTTTTGTTTGTAATAAAACTTCTCTTTGACTTTTGTCATGAAGCGCTCTGTCATGCAGAAATTCTTGATTTTTATGAGGTCAAATATTCTTCAATATCTCCTGGATTTGGAGACATAGTTAGAAATGTCTTCCTTCCCTGCTGCTTTTGAAAGAAACAGTTAATTTGTCCTTTAGGCCCATATGATGGAATGAGTCGGATTGAGGTACACCCTGATTCCTGGCTGCATGTGATTGTCATCGGAGTCCCCGGGGAGGACTGAAGGAAACCAGAGGCCATGCAGATGGTGCAGCAGACCCTGGCCAGGGCACTCCCTGGCCACACACCAGCGCCCTCTCGAGGCTGCCCCCTGGGGCAGTTGCTGTGTCCCACTGCCTTGTGCTTGAAGTGTGGTGGAGCTGGAACTGGCCAGCAACACCCTTATCTGGCCGTGCTGAGGGGTGGACACACGTTGCTGATGGGAGAGAACTGGATGTGCAGGAGAGAGTCTCTGGGCCTCCAATCTGGTGGTTACGTTCTGTGAATTGGATTCTCCCCTTCAAAATAGTGGAACAGGAATGAGTGCATTTCCCTGGCTGTTGTTTATAGGTCTCTGTCTAAGAAGGAGTCCTAGAAACCAGAGGATTTTCCCCCTGAGCACACTTACTTACTGGGGAATGCAAGTGTAAGGGGGGAAGCAGACAGAGCTCAGTGTGCTGCTTAGTACAGAGGAAAGACACCCAATGTTACTGAGCAGGGTGGCATCCTGGCTGGCGAGACAGTGGGCTGCAAAGCTGGCTTAGGGTATCAAAGGAAGCAAGAGAGGTGGCAGTGGGAAAAATGGTGATTACTGGCGTTTAAAAGCCCCACATGGGACTTCACCCCCTGCCTTCCCTAAGACATCTTCTCTAAAATCTGCAGCCTTCCCGGCTGTGTATACGAGCGTGAGTGGATGCATTTTAGGGCAGGTAAAAATAGACCATGTGAACTCATTCTGGGGCTTGCCAGGATGTGCTGAACTCAGCATCGGTGAATTCTAGATGCCAGTCCTGGTATGCAGGTGGCAGTGATAACGGAAGTGTTCACCAGGTTGGTGTCACTCTGTTGGAAGGCATAAGGGCAGAGGTTCTTCGAACAGGGCCAAAGGGCCTTGCCCTGCAGGTGCCGTATTGCATCCTATAGATGAAGGCAATGGCACCTCGCTGATAGCCATTCAACAAGGCTGGCGCATGCTTGTCCTGTCCCTCCGCGTTCTCGGCATACTCATGTGGTGTAGCTCAGAGCGCGTCTTATGTCTTATGCCTACCTCTGCATGCCAGAATCACCTCAGACACAAAAGCAATTAAAATCTTGGCTTACTTGTGAGAAAACATCAAAAAACATCCAATTCATTACTCTGAAATTCTTCAGGCACCCCTCTTCCTTCCATCTCAGTACCTTTGACCTCATAGCTGAACCCCCATGAAAAGTCAAGCAGGGGCCCTCCCTGGTGGCGCAGCGGGTTAAAGCACAGCACTAAGAAGCTAAAGTCACTTCTTCATGAGTTCAATCCTGGCCCCGGAAGTGACCCACGTGGCATGGCAGACCTCTCCTGACCCGCCCGCTGCTCCCCTCAGCAGTGTACTTTGTCAGTCCACCTTTTCTGCTCCCCACTTTGTCTCTGGTGAATCTTCTCACGGCCCCTGCACCTCTGCCCTGTACCCCAGTTCTGTATGCACAAATAAATAAATCTTTAAAATAAATTAAAAAAAAAAAAGTCAACCAGGGCCGCGCTTCCTGTGTCTTATCCTTTTTATGTCTTGGTGGCGAATCTTGGCCATTTTCAGAACAAATTGAGGTTCTCTGTTTCCTTCCCTGTTCCCTGTCTTGATTCTGCTTCATGAAAGTTCAGAAGTGAGCTGGCAAAGCCAGCTGTCCTTTTAGGAGGGGTGTGTTTGCGATTTCGAGGGGCATGAACAGAGCTCTCTTCAGTGGAGTCTGAGGCAGACAAGGGCAGACAGCCACAGTAGTAGCCTACCTCCTGTGACATTAGGATCCTTCTTCTTGATGCTGATGTAAGGTCCTGGCCATTGCAGAGGGAAAGTACATGTCTTTGCTTTTGCTTAGACATCTCCTCCTGTCCTCTTTTCCAAAAGCAAGTGACAACAGTTTTCTTTTGGGAAAAGTAGCAACAGCTGGTACATTATTATTTGCAAAATGCCTTCAAGTACCTGGACTCATTTACTCCTCCCCACAGGCATAAAGGTGAGCTTCATGCTTGTTCTCACAGTGGCCTGTTCCCCCTCTCTCCCTCCCTCCCTTTCCTCCTCCTCTTGTCTTCCCCTCCCCCGACTCTTCCACTCTCTTCTTAGCAGGACTTGGGAGCGACCACTGCGTCCTGTTTCCAGAGAAATCATCGTCCGCTGGTTCAAGGAGGAGCAGCTGCCTCGCCAAGCTGGCTTTGAGAGGAACACCAAGTGTATCGCCCCCTGGTTCCATGGTAGGATGGGAATAAACTCCCCATCTGCACTGGTCTCTGGGGTTGGGAGGAAGGCCAGAAGGCCTGCTGCCATCAGGGGACTTTGCCCCCACAAAGACGGGCACTCTTCCAGAGTTAAGGCTCAGCTTCCTGCCTTGCCTGGGTGATGGTGGAGTGGAGTGGGGAGGCTCCATTTCTATCCTTTATTTGTTCATCAAGAGTGAGTTTAATACACACGTTTTGACTTCTTTGAGCCATGTGCAGAAATGCTGAATGACCCTTATTGAGGTCCCGGGGGTCCTAGGTATGACATGTGTGAGTAGGAGTCCAGGAGACCCAGGATCCGGTACTCTGAACATGTGCTCGGTTTTTCTGGGAACAGAGTGGCACCACTCCAGCCCTCTGGTCTTCAGCCTTCTTGACCATCCAGGCCTCCTTACTAGCACCTTCTCTGTGCTCGCGAGAGTGGTCTAGTGGACTTGAGCTCCTTGCAGGCAGGACCTCCATCTCGTTATCTGTGCTGCACCCCCAGATCCTGATCTGGGCCTGGTAAATGGCAGCTCTCCGCACCATCCCCCACCCCCCCGCGCCAGCATTTCTCAAACAAGCCATTTTCTTTTCTATCTCAGGCCATTGCATTTTCTATTACCCTGCTTACTTTTGTTATGTTTCTAGCTTTTTGCTTGGCTGACACAGTCTCATTTTTCATCTCAAATATCCAGAACCCCCATACCTAAAGTCACCTTTTCCAATTTCCATTCATCTTGTTTATTTCTTTAAGAGTATTCATCCCATGGGTATTTATCCCGTTACTTGGTTATTGTCTAGACTCCTACCTGAAGACTAAGCCTGTAAGACTAAGCACCTTGTCCATTTTCCCTAATGCCTAAAGATCCATGGAAGAACAGATGAATGTGGAAACAAAGTGTCAGTCTTGCTTGGCTGCATTGGCGCTGGTAGGTGTGGAGTCCCCTAATGGCAGAGGCCTGATGAGTGAGGGTAAGGTGGAGGCACTCAGAAAGCCAGAGACATGAGGCATTGGCTAGGCTTCCCAGTTAGCCACGTGCTCCCCGGGGCCACCTTAGGCCTTTGTGCATGCCATCCTCATCTTTGCTGCCCACCTGCCCGGGGTCAGATGCAGAAACACACCCAAGACGCTTTACCATCTTCCTAACCTGTTACTGCGATTGCTGGGCAATTCACCTTGATCAATGCTTCCCTCATGTGTCACGTGGATGAATGGTTGCCTAGTCCCAGTGACTTCCAGCAGGACTTATTTCTTCCCCATGTCATAGGCCCATTGGGGATTGTGGACTTCAATCTGGGTCTCAGACTAAAAAGTGCTACCTCTATGGGGAACTCTGATGGTCTCGCGACAGAGAGAAAAGAGGAGCATGCCAGCCGCAGACTGGTGCTTACAAGCCTCTGGCCAGTGCCAGCTCGGTGTCTATGGTGTGAAGAGTTGTGAATGATAACAGAATCTATCATAACCACCATCCAATTTCGAGCCCTACTTCCTTCCAGAGGAAGGACGGATTGACTGTTTATGGCTCAAAGGAAGAGAGTTCACATTTGTGGGTGCTGAGTCATGCATCTTTGGGACTGGTCCTGAGAATCTCTGCTTCTGACTTCTGTTCCCCGTGCGTAACCCTATGGTGCCTGAGAGAGCTTCTGTTAGAAAGCCACTGTTTTCCTTTTCCTTCATATGTTTTTATAATCACAAAGCACAACAATAGCACCTCAGGCTCCTGCATGGTGCAGCTCAAAATTTCAGGGAAGGCGGAGCTCTGGTGGGGGTGCTGAGTGCTTAGCAGTGGTTATGGTGGCCAGTGGAGATGGCACAGCACAGGTGCTCATATTCATCCTTAGTTTTATTTCCCATCTTGATTTTAAAAATGTAATTTTTATATTGTCACAGAACAAATAGACCTGTGATTTAAGTCTCACAATTTATGTAATAGATTTCATGTTCTTTTGACAGTTCTACCATAAATCATGCAAGGAAGCTGCTAACCCACAGACTGGAGCTATTTAGTGACAAAGTTTCCATTGATCTGTGACAGGATGAAAGGAAAAAGCTCACTTATGGTGGCTGGCCAACTCTACCTGTGCTTGGAAAGGACTGAGTTGCATTCTGAGATGGTATCCTTTCCTCAGTTTAGTGCCAGAGTCCCTTTCTTTATGAATTAAGGGTGATAGTAAGCAGTAGTCATTTTTATATATTTGCTCAGAAAAGCAAATAGGTAGCAGCCCTACACTGGGTTTCAAACTCTTTAGAATAACTTTGCTCCTCTCTCAAGTCCCACAATTCCTGGTATGGTCTGAGTTCTTTCCCGAGGTAGGAATTTCCTGACAGCGTCCCTGGTATGACTCCCTCATACCAGCCCCTGCAGACACCGGAAGCCCCTGCTCCACAGACAACTGGACCAGCCTAACGGTTGGAGCCTCTGGCTGGGGGCTCTGCGCTTGGCTGGGTGTCTTAGCTGAGGGGGCTCTGCTCCCCATAGCTCTCAGCAGGCTGCCAGACCTGTTCTCTTCTTGGCGATCGTGCAAGTTCCAGAAAGCAAGTGGTAACTTGCTAGACTCTTGAAAATACTTGCACCCCCTGCAACTGGCCACAACCTGTCACAGAGCTGAGGAGTGGGAAACTGTATTCTGTTTCTTTCATCTGAGTAACTACAAAGGCATGTGTCAAAGGGTGTGAAGGCAGGGAGGGGAGAAGAGTTTGAGCCAATAACACAATCTGTCACAATCCCATTATAAATATTTTCTTTTCTGAGCAAAGCATTCCTGGCTGGGTTTTAGATGCAGGTTAAAAATGACTACTGGGACTTCTATTTTCTTACCTTCCCTCCGACACGTTTGGACAGATTGTGTAATCACAAGAGCAGCGTGGACAAGGAACATGAAGATGTGGGCCTATCTTAGAAACTAGCAGCTTTGTGACTTCGGATGTGTCCTTTAAAATACCATGGGTGGTGTTTATTGCTGCTTTATTTACAATTGGGAAGACATGGAAGCAGCCCAAATGCCCAAAAGTAGATGACTGGATTAAAGAGATGCGGTACATATATACAATATGTACCCATGGTATTTTATTTATTTTTTTTAAAAGATGTACCCAATATACTCAGCAACCAAAAAAGAGAAACACATGTCTTTTGCAGCAACTTGGATGGAGCTGGAAAAGATCACGCTTAGTGAGATAAGCCAGAAAGAGAAAGAAAAATACCGGATGGT